TGGTTTCCAGTGAGAATTGATGTATAATCACACAGATCCCTGAAGCTAGACAGAAACAAAAGGAAATTCCCACTTTAAATATTGTTCAGGTATAATTTATGTAAGTGGCTTATTTTTTTTCCTGAGCAGTTCAACACCCACAGTTTTTTTGCATTAACCAAGCTAATTTCTTTTCAAAATGTTTGACATTTTAGTTTTGGTAAGCTGAAAAGTGGTTATATACTTCTCTTAGTGAATTTTATACTTTCAGACTTTTCTGTTAATGTAGCCTTACAATAAAGTAGAATTAGCGCATCTGGTCGTGTTTCCTGTCTGATCTTCCCGTGAACACTGATGTCAATCTTGCAAGTCTGAAAGTACAAATCTACCACCGTCTCCCTTTTAGTCTGAGAGCTTAAGGAAGGGAGTCTCTTCTAAGACTCTTTCTCTGCGCCTTTATGCAGCTGTGGGCTTTGCCCTCTCTTATCCGGCCATTCCCTAGGTGGGTCTATGACAACTCACCCTGGCCAACTAACTGCAGGAAAACTTGCTGAGGGACAAGAGTTACATTAATATGAAGAATGGTGGAATCAAATTATTAAAGAAAGGATGCCAAAGGAGGGACAAAATGAAATGTGAATGACAAAAATTAAAATATTTTTTAAAAATTATTTTGAATAATGAATTGTCCCTCAGCAAGTTGTCCCATGACAAGTTGGCCATGGTGAGTTGCCCCATTCTGTCCATAGGCAGCATCTCTTCACCCTATTCCTCAAAAATGTTCTCACAAATCCATTACTGGAAGCTAAGGCTACTTCTCTATCCCAGGGATGAGCCAGACCAAGGAAAGTGTGCCTGGATTTTGCAGTGACTCAGAAAAGGCAGGACTTCTGCCATTGTGATAATTCAGCAAATTTAAATAGTAGAATTAAATACAAATGTCATATACAGGAAAAAGAAAAAAAATTGAGGGGAAAGCTAGTTTTCCACTCAAAATTTTTGTAGGTTTGGGGGGGTTCCATTGTCTCATCCTGTCCTCATGTTACGATTCTACCTTTGGGAAAGAAGAGATTTCTCTCCCATGTTACTAAGTCTGACTGTATTACCCTTTTGTTATGCTATTTTTAACTTTTCCTTTTCTCTTGGAGGCTGCCCAGAACTAGACAAGATTTCTGTATGTAGAGGAGGTAGGGTGGGGAAGATAGTGAAGTTGAATAACCTAAAGAGACATAGCCACCTTCTGAATAAAGACAGTTATTCCTATCTAGAATAATCAATTTCTGTTATTTGTTGCTTTCTGCCACAAAATAATATCAAAACTTATTTCTGGGAAAGCTCCATAGTCCATTTTAAGCTGGCACATCAGCCAGCCTTATGGAACTCGATGTAGACTAGCTTCTTCACCTTGGATCTATTGGAATAAAGTTCTGAATTTTGCCTGTAGCCAGTAAAATTCGGCTGCCTAATAATCCTGAGAGTCAAAAGCCAATAATGTGTCAGGTGTATAGAAGGCTGGATGTAAATCGTCATCTAAAGGTGATAATAGGAGCAAGAGTTACATCTTGGGAAAGGTTTTGGTAAAGGTGGACTGAAGCCCTCCTAGAATTGGTATATTCCTTATAAGGGTTATTGCTGTTCTTATGTCGATCCAATTGACATTCATTCTTTTCTCTATTTTTCCTTAGGAAACAGGAACAATTCCAGGCAAATTCTGACAGTTATAATGGAGCTGTGCGAGAGAACTACACTTGGTCTCAGGACTATAGCGACCTGGAAATTAAAGTTCCAGTACCCAAACATATTCTGAAAGGCAGACAGGTAATGAGAGTATGAGAAGTTTTTTGGCCCACTGGCTGACAGAGTCCCCGCCTTTCCTAGTAAAATGTCCAATGTAGCTCTGCTTAGAATTCTTCCCTTGCTGCTTTCATGGTTAAGAATAATGATGCTATCCTACAGCAGTCCAAACTCGCAGAATGCTGCAGCCGTTTTCAATCATCCTCCATCATTAAGCAAGTCTGGATTGCCATTAGCCAGATTAAAATGTAAAGGGAAAACCACAGGTATATTGATGGCATAATATCACAGGTCCCAACTCCTGGTGTCCTCAGTTAGAAAAGATCTAGATAGCTCCTGGGATGCCAGTTTGTGGAGATTGTGTTGTCAAAATTTGGAAAAAACCCTCCTTTCACTTTTAAATTAAAACNTAGGACCTTTGTGGCTCCCGGTGTTTTCTTTTCTGTGGGAAACGGGTCCAAATGGCTCTTTGAGTGTTTAAGTTTGCCGACCCCTGGTCTATGGCAACCATCCTCAAAATGTTGTTTTGGGCTCTGTTCCCAAAATTCTCAATTCTAGAATGGTAAAATCTGAGCGAAGCTTCCATTTTAAAATGTATAATTACATATGAGTTTAGAAACAGATTTTCTTTAAAAGGGAATGGGTAAAGGATGTTTATTTTTTTTTCTTTAACAAACATTTATCCTTTCTTACAGGATGGTCTGCATCCAGTTCTGCTCCATAGCTGAGAATCTGATTTGCAAATCTGTCCAGTTCTTGAATAGTTCTTGGGAACCATGGAACTAGAAAGCAAAAAAGAAGCATCAGTTGTGATTAGTTACTTGCCACTTCATAAAAGCATATGGAATGTGTAGTTATATTCCTGTTACTTTATTCAATATTGGCTTGAAAGTTACAATGAAATATAAATAATAGATAATTTAATGCCCGGTGGTACTTCGGTACTCATTATTAATTGGTTCCGGAAGGAGTGATGAGTACCAAAAATGGTGAATACCAAACAAATTTTTCCCATAAGAAATAATGTAGTGAGTCAGAGGGCAGTCATCATTGACAAGTTCTAGCTGAGTACCAAACAAACAATGAGTAACGGAACAAAATCTTCATGTCAAAATGCATTGAGTACCAAATTCGATGAGTTTCAAAGCAGTTGAGTAGCAAGGAACCTCTGTATAACGTTGGGTTAAAGACTGGAATTCCTAGACTTGTTCAGCAAATTTTGTCCCAATAGCTAAGAAAGATCTCAGTGGTTTCCTCAATTAATTTGAAAAATACATGGATATACTGAAGGCCATTTTCTAAGCCAGTGGTTCCCAACTGTTTGGGCACCAGGGACCAGTTTTGTGGAGAGAGGTTTTTCCATGGACCTTTGTGGCTTGCAGGCCCGGCAGGGAGGAGAGAGGAGTTAGTTCCTTGTGAGTGGTCGGTGGGGCCCATGTGAGCAATTCTGTTTCTGTGAGCAGCGGGCACATGCATCCTCCGCTCTCATAAAAGGAACTTTGTGTGTGCGCATTAGCTGCCACCGTGGCACGACATAACCGCGAACGTCAAAAGCGCGCCAACAACACCGCGGCGCTAAAACCGCGATGTCAAAAGCGCGCCGACAACAGCGCGCCGACAACAGCGCGCCAACAGAAGTGCGATTTAACTTAAGGTAAGGTTTAGGGTTAGGTTTAGGGTAAGGTTAGGGTTAGGTTTAGGGTTAGGTTTAGGGTTATGTTACAGCGCG